ACCTAAGATGATGAAATCTACATGAAAGATAAACTTATGTACTTTAGCAAGAACATCTTCTAGCACCTTTTTAGGATAAGTAAACAATCTATCGACATGTTGAAGGGAGACTGTGGTGTGTTGGACCTCTTCTAAATATAATCTCCTAAAAAAGGACAATGGCATAATATTGATGTTGGATCCTAAATCATATAATCCTCTTCCAAATTATTTATTCCCTATTGTTATAAGAATGGTAAAATTATCAAGTTCCTTCAACCTTTTTGAGAGCTTCTTCTATATGATAGCATTGCATTCCTTGGTCACTATTACAATTTAAAATTCCCTAAGTTTTTGTTTCTTATTTAGATCATATTTCATGAATTTAACATAAGTGGGAATCTACTCTAAGGTTTTCAAGAAGGGTATGGTAATGATTAATGTTTTAAATATATAAAATATCCTAGAGAATTATTTATCCAAATTTTATTTAATTAACGTCGACGAATAGGTGGTGGTGGTCTCTCTACAACCTTCCTAATAAGTCTTTCAGATTATTTAATTAGTTTAATAGATTCTTAGTGTGTTTAGTCACTAAAGGCTCTCCTACCACAATTTCATTTTGAGGTTATTCTAAGTCCTCATAGGAATCTCCCAATTTCTTCCCACTTCTTAATTGAATAATCTTATAATGTTCTTCCAAATATTTTTTTGCTATGATTAGGATAGTGATCATAGGGTTCACTATTAATCAAATTAGCAAGTTGCCCTATTTAATTTTTATGATTTTAAGGGTAGCAGCTTGACTCTGTAATTGGTTGCACATCTGAAGCACTAAATCCCCATAGGTGTATTCCTATCTTTATATTGATTAATCTAATTATAGCTCAGGGATAAAAAGGTTTATGATTCACTATAGGCTACTGAGGATAATTCTAAGGTCCTACAGGATTGGATTGGTTTGCATTCCATTAATATTCACCATTATTATTACTCCAAATAAAATTAGGGTGGTTCCTCCAACCTGGATTATATGAATTTGAATAGGGGCTATTTTTTCTTTCTATAACATTCACATTCTCTACCCCTTGAGCACTAGAATCACTAGAATAACTCAAATGATTTTCATCCAAAAGCATAGGTGATCCTAAATATCTACTAACTCCAACTTTGTCTAACTTTTTAGACATACTTATTACCTGAGTAGTCAAAGTAGATAACGCATCAAACTCATAAATACTTGTTACTCTCTTAGGATTCACCCTATCGGAAGGGCACTGAAATTTGTTTCTCAAAATTTCCTTTATCAAAATATAAACCTAAGTGATCCTAGAATTTCATTATAACATGTATTAATCATCAACAAATCAAATAATAAATGACGAGGGAACTTTCTAAACATCTCCTTAAATATTTCTTAACTCTCACAAATTTACTTATCATCATATTGGGGAAATAAAGTATTATTATTCCTAAGCTTAGCAATTTTTAAAGATGGAAAGTACCTTGCTAGGAGCTTATATGCCAACTTATTCCAAGTGGTTATAGAAACTAGGGCTAAGGAATTCAACCATAATTTAACTTTTCCATTAGTGAAAATAGAAATAATCAAAGTCTAATGGCATCATCACTAACTCTATTATACTTGAATGTCACACAAATTTTGAGAAAAAAAAAAAAGCCTAGCTAAATATAGATTTGGATCCTCAATAAGAGTTCCTCTAGATTGAGAATTTTGAAACATTTAGATAATAATAAGTTTCAGCTCAAAAATATTGGCTTGGATAACAGGTCAATTGATACACTGATGGATTCCATCTACTAATATATTTACAAACTCCAAAAGACGTGTAGATTAGTCTTCACCTAGATTTGGTTCAACCATATCTATTTTTATAGTCTTTTTGGTTTTCCAAAATTTTTTAAAGGTCCTTTCTATTTTTTTGGTCAAACAATAGAGGGACCTTACTAGATCTATGATACATACATAATCACTAAACAATAGATTGAAAAATAAATGAAATAATAATTATAAAAAAATAGAAAGACCATAATTTCATAGTGACAAACACAAATACAAATATAACTAACTAATTAAAACTAAATAATAAAAGTAGGATTAAGTATGCAGGCCACTTTTTTGAATAATATAAAGTTAATAGTAAAAACCCACTTTTGGGTCCTTGATAACAGCACTAATAACTTGATAGGTTTATGTGGCTTTAACTATTACTAAATATGTGTGTGCAATATTCCTTGATAGACTAGTGTACATGTTGAAAGTAATAAAGTATATGAGAAAAGTGTCAATCCCATGAAGACACAAGTATGCTTTAACTTTTTATAGTATTGCCTACTCAAGCCACAGAATTTATCCTACTTAATGAAAGGAATGTGAAGTGCAATCACAACTAAAAAATTATATAAAAAGTGAATATAAGTAAAAATTAAGATGTTTTGGACTTATAATAGTGAATAAACCTATATTTTCACAAACAAACTCATCTATAATAGTTGTGAATCTAAACATATGCACTCTTAGATCTATATAGAGATTGTAAAGGTGTAAAAAAGATTTTTGCTTCTCTATGGTGATTATATCTCCCTAGATCCTAGAATCTTATTCATCCTTTATCTAGGCATGAAAGTTTTAAATCTCAATTATCCTAATTATTCTAACATTCCTCCAATGAGGTAATGTATCCTAAATTTTAACCTTATCCATGATAATTGCATGAATTAAATTAAGCATGGGAGTAATTGAGAACAATCATTCACATTTACATACAAGAGTCTACATCAGAAAATATTAAAATTATTCACATCATCAGCACAAAACTAAGAAGTTAGTCAGCCATATAATTAATTTTGATCAAAACACTTCATATACATGATTTCAAAGAAAGATGAAAAGAAGAAAATGAAGAAAATATCACCAAATTTGAGAATCCCAAATATATCCTATAGATGGACTCTTTCAAAATTGAATCCCTCTTCACTCGTTCACTGTTCACACTAGCTTTAACTATTAAGTAGTGCTTTTCCCACAACATGAATGACCATCCACTTCACTAAATATTTCTCCATACTCTCTTTTCTTCTTTTTTGGATATATTGGAAAATTATTTATATTAACTCAAAGAAATGGACTCAGACACTATCGCACCCAATAGGGTGGCGTTCTGATATTATAATGATAAACAAGCTCCTCAATGTTGTTAACTTGCTCCATTGTGGCATTAGGCTGAACCAACGTGATGTCCCCCCTATAAATTTCTCTTAACTGCCCCATCGCTGTGCTATAAATGATAGGCACTATAGTGCTCAGACACATCATCTAGTATTGTAGTGATCTAGAGATTGACACTTTGGCTTTGAGTTATTTACACAACAAAGAGTGGAGTTTTGAAGCATTCTCTTTGCTGTGTTGAGGCACGATTAACGCTATAGTGATACATGTATTTATACATTAGGGTGCTAAATTAATTATAATTTTCCTGAGGCTTGAGCGCAGTGATATATAGTTTTAGCACCACAACATTGAAGGCACCACATCGTTAGTGTTTTGGGCCTTACGATGTGTACAAGTGTGGGATGAATTAAATGCGTGAACTATGTTTGTGCTATAGGTTAAAATTTGCTTAAGTTTTCTTTGTTATATAATACCCATTAAATATGTAAGTGCACATGTCGATCAACTAATAAAATAAATTGAGATAGTGTCGATCCAATGAGGAAGTGTTCTGCAACATGCAAGTAAACTAGTATTGTACGTCTACTACAGTTAAAATATTTATCCTACTAAGTGAAAATAAGGGTTGGAATTTGTCACTACAAAGGATTATAATAGAAAACAAAAGTTATTATGTAATATGATGTTTTGGACTAATGAATATAAATTACCCAAGTTTTTGTAATGAGAATATTTTTTATTGAAATGAATCAGAGCATATGCATCCCTAGATCAATGTCGAGCTTATAGGGATGTAAAGAGAGGTTTATGACCTTGCTACGATGATTGTATCTTCATAAAACCTAAAAGGTTAAATATCCTATGTCTAGGAATGCATACATTCCATTCCAATACTCCTATTTATTCCAATATTCCTTCGTTCAGGTAATATATCAGACTAGATTTTAACTACACGTGTGACCACTGTATGCATTAAATTAATATTGAGAGACATAGGAAGCATTCATCTCTCATTCAAATCATAAGAGTTTATATTAGTACTAACATTAGATTCACATCATTAGCCTAAAACTATATAATTAGTCAGACATGCAAAGAAAATAAATTAGATTTCATTACTTGCATAAAAAAAGAAAATACATGAGTAAAACTTATTTTAGATGTCACCCGAATAGTATAGATGCACTCTCCAAACTAATGTAAAGGGAAAATATCACCATATTTGAGAATCCCAAATAGGCATGAGATTATGAATGAAAATTAGGGTTGGGATTTATCACTATAGAGGATTGCAAAAGAAAAGAAAAGTTACTGTACATTAAGATTGATACATCACACAAAAATTATCTTGATCGGGCACGAAACTTGAGGCAAAAGCTAGTTGGAAACTTCATAAATTAAATCCGGGAGCACCTGAACTCCGATTTCAACGAGCTTATAGTCAAACTGAGCATCTCAAAAATACGAGCCCAACGACACCAAGATCAACCCAATCGGAGCACAAATGATTCCGAATCAAGGGCTCAAAGCGCTATTGTAAGGTTCGAATTAGAGCCTATGTATCTCTAAATCTCTATCAATCTCTTATTGATTTAAAGAGTGGTTTATAACCTTCCTATAATTGCATCTTCATAAAATGTGCATCCACTGCTAAAACATCTACTATTCATGGTCCTTTAAAAAAAATCCTGTTTAAATTTTAGGATTTTTTTTTTATCGTGGAAGGAAATATTTGAACTTACTAGAAAAAAAATTTCATATTTATTCAATTTACAAAGTTAAATTTCTCTTTAAAAAATCTAATTTCTCCGTGCCACTGTTTTGTCTAGTTCTGGCATCGGTGCAAACGAGTCAGCTTATTCCCCTCTTCACTCTTTTCTCTTCTCTAATATTCTCTCCCTTGTTGAAGGAAGCTATGTTTACCTAATCCGCTCCAGATTTTTAACTCCATGTGGAGGAGAAGCTTTCGATGGGCTGCGCTGCCCCACCTCTCCTCTTCCGCCCATCCTCAATCCCACCAAACCCCCCGCCTTCAAAATCTTAACCCAACTACAAGCATCTCAATTCACTTCTACAATCCCATCATTCCTCCCATTAAAAACCCCATCTTTGCCATTATCCCCAAATCCTTCTCTTCAAATCCGACACCAGATAACGCATTCAATCAAGACGACGCCGAAACTGTGAAGGAAGGCCATCTTTTCTGGCACGTAGACACAGTGATGGACTGTCTCCGTCATTTAGGATCCAACAGCGCCGAAGCCAAGCGCCGGCTGGAGCAATGCGGCGTTTTGGTCTCGCCAGAGCTCGTGGCTGAGGTCCTCTCCAGGCTCCGCAATGACTGGTCTGCTGCTTTCACCTTTTTCCTCTGGGCGGGGAAGCAGCCGGGCTATACCCACTCCGTCAGAGAGTACCATTCCATGATCTCCATCCTTGGAAAGATGCGGAGGTTTGACACGGCTTGGTCTCTTGTCAATGAGATGAGGGGTGCGACGCATGGGGGACCATCTCTTGTCTCCTCCCAGACCCTCCTGATCCTAATAAGAAAGTATTCTTCCATTCATGATGTTGGAAGAGCCATAAGCGTTTTCTATTCCTTCAAAAAGTTTGGACTTGAGGTCAACATTGATGATTTTCAAGGCCTGCTCAGTGCTCTCTGCCGGTATAAAAATGTGGAGGATGCTGAGCACCTGCTTATGTGCAACGAAGGTACATTCCCTTTTGAGACCAAAAGCTTTAACATTGTGCTCAATGGATGGTGCAACATTCTTGTATACGTCCGAGACGCAAAGAGGTTTTGGAGAGAATATGAGAAGAGAAGGGTTGAAAAGGATGTGGTGTCCTATGGGTGCTTGATATCATGCTACTCGAAAGCTAGTAATCTCAATGATGTCACTAAGCTTTTCAGTCAGATGAAAGAGCTTGGTATTGCACCTGATGGGAAGGTTTATAATGCGGTTGTCTATGCTCTTGCTAAAGCACGGAGCATTGACAAGGCCAAAGATCTTGTTAAGTTAATGGGGGAAAAGGGAATTGTTCCAAATGCTGTGACTTTTAATTCTTTGATCAGGCCTTTATGTAAGTTTCGCCGAATCCAAGAAGCACGGATGGTGTTTGATGAAATGTTGCAAAAACATGTAACTCCTTCAATACGCACCTTTCATGCTTTCTTTGATGTTATTAAGACTGAGGAAGAGATGTTTGAGTTGCTTCATCAAATGAGACAGACAAGTTGTAAACCAACATTGGATACATATATTATGCTAATTAGGAAATTATGCAGGTGGAGGCTGCATGATAGTGTTTTTAGGTTATGGAATCAGATTAGTGAGTCTGGTCTGAGTCCTGATCGCAGCGCTTATATAGTTTTGATCCATGGCCTCTTTCTAAATGGGAAGCTAGAAGAGGCTTCCAAGTATTATGAAGAGATGAAAGAAAAGGGCTTTGAGCCTGAACCCAAGACTGAGGAGATGATCGAAGCGTGGCTTGCCGGTAAAGTGGCTGCAGGAAAATTAGAATGTTTGGCTTCAGAAAGTGGTAGGTACTCAAAGGAACCTTTGGGGATGAAGAGCAGAAATGTACAGAATATGTCAAGCTTTTCCAAAAATTTTCTGAAAAAACCTGAAACAAGGAGCATCACTAGAGAGCGTGGATACTCGTTTGGTAGCTAAAATGGTATGCATTGATGCTTCTCCTATCATGCCTTAAATGCAATGTGATTTTATATTTCTCCTTCAATGCAATGTGAATAATAGTCCATTCCAGTACAGGGAAATCAAACAATGAGCTATCATCTACCTAAAAAAAATATAGCTTTGAGTTTCATTTATTTCTTATATATTTTTAAACGAAGACAATGTTAAAGTTAAACAAAAAGAGAGTTCTGATTGTTATTATTATTATTATTATTTTGGCTAGCTAGAAGAAAACGAAAATCAGTTCTGCTATTTTCATTCTTTTACTTTTTTAGAGATACATATACACATCCTTTAGGTTCTTTTTGGGCTTCTGTAATATAAGCTGTAATTCTGTAAATCTTAGGGGTCTCGGTCTCTTTTAGGGATGTTGGAATGGAACAAGAAAGGGTAATAAAAATGATATAGGAGTATATGAATTCATTGTCATAAGCTTGTGAAGCCACAAATTTTCCTTTTTTTTCTATTTTTAATATAACCTGCTCTGTTTACTATCATTCAGTTGGTGTTTGAAAATGTTCACATTTGGATGGAAGGAGTCATTTCATAACTACAAAAGCTTAAGAAAGTATTCTATTTTATCCATAAAACTTTGTGAGTGGTTATGAAAGGGAAAAACAAGAATATCAATGAAATTAATCAGGTTTTAGTTTCTTTGATAACAAAAGTAAAGCCGTAGGAATAGAATAAACAAATTTAGATAAATGCTTCAGAACGGATGCAAATCTTTAGGAATGACTCACATAAAAACAATGAAGGTGAAATTTTCTTTTTTTTTTTTTTTTTTTTTTTTGGAAAAGGAAATTTTTTTTTTTTTTTTTTTTTTTTTTTTTTGGACAAGCTTTAAATAAGAAGGAGATAGGTGTAACCTCAAAACAATGCATTCCTGGTAAGCTTGGAATTAACATTTTCTTCTTTTTTGGTATGGGCTTAAAATTAGTATTATGCTCATGTAGGATCTAAGGGCATCTCCAACCGAAAAACTCATTTTTCACTTCAAAATACAGTAATACACTAATATGCAATAACTTGTCTCCAACCGAATTCCATTTTCTAACACCAAAAAGAGAAATTTCTAGTATATTCTTTCTCACACTTTGTTTTTCGGAATAAAAAAAAAAAAAAACATATAGCGGGTAAAAAGTGCGACGTCAATATTGGCGTCGTGTTGTTCACTTGCAAATAAATAGTTGAAGATTTGGCGTTTGGCTGGAGTGACCGAACGACGCCATACGCATGTTTGATGCTCGACTGGAGATGCCCTAACACTGTCTTAAATGAGATACTGAGTTGTACTCAATGCAACGAACATAAAGACAGTGAGAATACATTAGGAAAGAAAAAGAAAAAAAAACAATTTAGATATATTTATTCAAATTTTTGCTTATGATGCATGAAGGTGTTCAATTTTGTACAAATCACTTATGATGCTTTTAATTCAAACAGTTTTTGTTCTTCCATTCAATTACTGATGAACTTTTTCACCCTTTTGATTTGTTCATGGTATCTTATTAGTATGGGGGAGGTAAAATTGAGATAAAGAGGATTGATAATACTACGTATGTTACCTTCTTCAAATCCTTTGCTTTTGAAAGCTTGTAGATCTTACCATCTCTATTTATCCATGCAAATTTTTATCTATCCATTAGTGAAGATCTTCTGGGACTATCATTTTGGTTATAAATGATTATTACAACCTTTAGCAGATGATTCCAAATGGATTAAATAACAACATTTTTTTTAAGTATTGCTGAATTTGACTCATTGAGTACACGTTTTAGATATCTTGGATCTATTGTTCAGAGTGATGGTGAAATAGATGGAGATATTATCAGCAGAATTCAAGTTGGATGGTTGAAGTGGAGGAATGCATCAGGCTTGTTATGTGATAGAAATGTACCCCTCAAACTTAAGAAAAAATTCTATAAGATGGTAGTGAGTCCTGCAATTAATGCTTTATGATGCCGAATGTTGATCATTAAAAGAGAAGCATAATACTAACTTAAGTGTGGCAAAGATGAGGATGCTCAGGTGGATGAGTGGCTTTACCCTTAGAGATAAGATACGAAATGAGCATATACGTGAAAAGGTTGGAGTTGCTCCAGTAGAAGATAAGATTAGAGAGAGTCGTCTTAGATGGTTTGGTCACATAAAACGGCGGCTTTCCGATGACCCGGTTAGGAGAGTATAGATAGTAAATTTGACTTATGTTAAGAAAGGTAATGACCTTTCTTTATTAGATTTAAACGAGATTTTGACTTTTAATTGGACACAATGGAGAAAAAGGATTCATGTACCCGACCCCACGTAGTGGGATAAAGGCTTGATGTTGTTTTTGTTGTTGCTGCTGCTGAATTTGACTCATTAGCTATATATTTGAAGTGACAATATTCTAATTAGGGTTATTTCATTGTGGAAAGGTTGGAGGGGATAAGATTAGAGAGAGTCTTCTTAGATGGTTTGGTCACATTAAACGAAGGACTTCCGATGACCCGGTTAGAAAAGTTGAGGTATTAGATTTAACTTATGTTAAGAAAGATAGAGGTAGACTTAAAAAGACTTGGTTAGAAAATATTAGAAAATGACATATTAAATCCAAGAGTTGTGATATTTTATTACCAAAATTTAGAATATTATTTTCATTTATTTTTCCGCTCATTTGTTTCAAAAATTTTAATTTGCTCTTCTAAATATATTTTATTAATTTTGGAAATTCTATTAACATGTATAAAATATTTTTTTCATTAATTTTTAAAATTCTATCAACTTGCATTTTGTGAAAACGCAATTACACTAGTTTTATTAATGTTTGAGCTATTATAATGGAGGTAATGATTATTCAAAAATATTATTTTAAAAAATCTTGTTAAAATTTTGTTTTTAACTTTAAAAGAATCAAAAACTTAAATTTAGACTTTTTAAATTCATTAAAATGGGAGATATTATATTTTTCATTAGTTTTAGGAAGGAGAGAAAAGGAAATACCTAAAATTATTGAAAATATGTGCAGGACTAATTGATACATCGTCAGAAACTATTTTGTTCGGGCATGATTATTGATGCAAAATCAAGTTAGAAACTTCCGAAATTAAAATTGGGACCATCCGACTCCAATTTCAGCAAACTTACAGTTGAACTAAACGTCTCATAAATATGAACTAAATGACACAAAATTTGACTCAATTCGAGCCCAAATGGGTCCAAATCTAGGATTCGAAGCGCTCTTGGAAAGTTCAATCAACAATTTGGATTACAAACGATTTCCAAACGTCACATGCTTATAGTCTCATCGAGCGGCTCGACGAGAGGAACCCAACGAGCCCAAGATCGCAGAATTCCGACATCACTAAGACCTTCAAATGTCTAACGAACGGTCCACAATCAAGGGATTCTACATCGGCCATCCATCCAAACAACTACTCATTTGCCCTTGATTCTCCTCCTATTTACGGGCCATGTCACTCTAGAAAATATATAAATAGACCTCTTCTCCCTCTTGAAATAAGATCTCTAAGCCAAAGGATTCAAGAGAGAGATCGGAGATCGCTCTTGCCTCCTTACTCTTCCTCGACCACCGACTGAGTTTCGCCGGGCCACCACCTGACGTCGTTATTCTGTTGGACCACCACTTGAGGCCCTAAGCTCTGTCGGACCACCACTCGAGGCCCTGAGCTTTGCCAAACCACCACCTGATGCCCTAAGCTCTGTCAGACCACCACTTAAGGCCTTGAGCTCTGTTGGACCACCACCTAAGGCCCATAACTCCACCGGACCATTACTTGAGGCCCTGAGCTATGTAGAACCAACACCTGAGGCCCTAAGCTCCGCCATACCATCACCTGAGGCCCTCACTTCTGCTGGAACACCACCTGAGGCCCGGACTTTTGCCGGACCACCACCTGAGGCCCAGAGTTCTATCGGACCACCACCTGACACCCAGACTTCTGTCGGACCGCCACCTGAGGCCCGGAGTTCCGCCAGACCACTGAGTAACCTCGGAGTTTCACCGGATTACTAATTAACACATGAATTTCCAAGTCACGCCTAACTTCTGCCAGACCACTAAGTTACGCCAGACTATCATTCTAGTTTGTCACTAGATTTCAACTTTATAGTTGACATTTTTAATATGATCTTCCTTAAGAACGAGTAAGCCCACTGTAATCTACTTGTATTCTGAGGGAATCATTTTCAACTGGGGCTCGCACCGTGTTTTTTCCCCTTTATAGGATTTTCTATGTAAAAGATCTTGTGTTTTATATGTGTGAGCTGGATATCCGTGCTACGCTAAGACGTAGAACTCTAACTCTATCGCCGCATATATTCTAGCTTGCAACAGTTTGGCACTGTCTATGAGAACTTCAATCCCACTATCTTAAGCACTCCTCCAATGGTTAACAAGCATAGCTAGTGCATCTTACGAGCCTCTCGCTCTAACTCACACCAATTCAGAAATCCTTCTATGAATCAGGGATGCAAGGCATCTGCTTCTTTCCACTCCGACGAAACCCTACTGGGGAAGCGACATTAGGACCCTCCCTAGAAGATCGTATCATAAAATGGAGGAATCTCAGAATGAGATTCTTCAACTTTTGCGAGAGACTCGGGGACCGACACTAACACCACAAGAAGATATTCTTCTCCCTTGAGGTCCATCAGGGCTCGAAGATGTTCAACCCGAACATCTTCATATCGAGATTCCCCTTCTACCACCGAGGATGCGCCCTCCGACACATCCAAAAAAATGAGCTTGTTGATACAACAAGATCTACCCATCCTTCGTACGCCGGCTGCCAACCTCGCATTCCTCCGGATGTCCCCGAGGACTTAGCCCAATCGCACATTGTTGAACTCCTTTGTAATGCCCTACGACATGAACTACAAAAACTAGTTTGAGTGGAGTTCCCCATAGGAGATATAAGACAATCTCTTGGTCAAACAGGACTTCCAGGAGTCATCACGCCTAACTGAAGTCATCCTTCAACACCCTATTCTTGCAAGATTCAAACTACCGAGCATCGATTCATATGACGAGACATCTGACCTATACGAACATATCAATCACTATATGACCATCATGTACATCTAGCGAGCCTCTAATACACTCTTATGCCAGGTCTTTCCTGCTAACCTCAAAAGGGCAAGCTCGAACATGGTTCTATTTATTCCCTGCCAGATCCATTCCAACATTCGTCAAATTAGCCAAATTA